AATAAATTTAATTCTTAGTAATTCTCAATTTTCATTTCGATTAGTTATTAGTCAATTTTTTAAAAGTCTGAAAATAATTCTATTATTAAAAATTAAAAATTTAATTACATACAATAACTTATTGTGCATGTCAAAAGTAATATAAACGTTTGTCCACAAATGTGATAATAATAGTGTAGGTTATTTAAAATTTGATTATTAAAGCTGTAACTAATTTCATTATATCTATAAAAATTATTTTTTATTAAAATTTTAAATTACAATATAAGTATATTTTTATTGATATAACTTATTTGTTACCCCAACAATTAACTACTGTTATCAGTGGGTCAAATTATACGACAAGTTTGATCGTGCTTCATTTAATGACCAGTAAATTAAATCAAGTTATATAAGTCCATATTATTCGTATGCAATATAATTTAGTTACAGTTTGTTACCCCAAAATTAATATATAACATTAATTAGAATAATTGGTGTACTGCAATATTATCTAAAGTATAATGCGATAATATATCCATGATACATTTATTATTAATACAATAAATTGTAATCATATAAATTATTTTAAAAAACAAAGAATATAATTAAACCCAGCACAAATTTTGAGCTCTAATTATTAATTGTTTTATTGAATTAATTAATTATATTTGCATTATTTTAATTGATTTGATACTAAAAACACTTTGATGTTTAAATGTTATTATATACAAGTCTAGACCTGTATTTCAAAATGATTACAAAGTTTATAATTATATAATTATATAATTTTTATTCATAATTCAATATTATATTATATTTTTAATTTATATAAAATATTCAATTTATAATTACAAAGAAATTCATTTTTAATAACACTTTCAATAATCATTAATTAAAATTATTCTCGATAAATCAAATATAATTGTTTATGTAACAATATTACATTTAACCAGTAACTTTGCAAACGTCCCTGCTCACATCGACGCCATAGTGATCGGCAGTACACGAGGGCTCGCTGTAAACCTGACCGGCGATTGTCAGCTGAATGTTATCCCAGACTTTCTCGAGATCTGCCGCATCGGCTGCAGTACAGTCGGCCTAAACAACAAATTTAATATAACCAGGGTTAAATTGTAAATTACTACACTTATTACTGCTATTATTTACTACTAAATAATAATAAATTTAAACGGCAAAAATAATATAAATAAATAACTTAAACACTTAACTAATAATTAATTATAGTTAATAACAAAACTTGCTCAATTAAAATATTTTATAACAACAAACAAATAATAACAAGTAATTTAAAATTATAATGTATACTAAATAGTTATATAATTGTAGTTAGAATTTACCTTATAATGGGCTTTAAAACAATCTAGCTCATCCCACAACACGCAGCAATAGTAGGCCTCCTGTTGGCTGGGCTTGATTTCCCGTTGACAGTGACCGGTGAACAGAGTGGCCAAACATGTGTTGGCATCGTTAGCATCGGTGCCAATGCTGGCCAGCAATCGGTTAACGGTGTTGCCCTGAACGGCGCAAACTACCATAGTCAATAGTGCCAATTTCATAAACATGTTGATAGGTTATTTAATAGTAGGTTAACTTGGTAAGTTATTTAATAGTTGAAGTTTGTTGTTATGTTTGACTGTGTTCTACGCTGCTATTTATATAAAAAATAATGATGGTATTTTTTATATCACAATTGCGCCATTAGGATTAAATAATTAAATTTCACCCCACACTGAGCAAGTATTTATTTTAATTAAGATTAAGGTCAATCACGCGTAAGAAGTTGCAATTTTAATATTATTGTTTGTACACTACAATTTTAAGTGACATTAATAATCAATAAAAGTCATATCGATAACTAATGGTATGAAGTTCGTCGACTTTTTATTTCAAGTCAATTTGAAATAGATATTTGTTGTTTAATTCAAAATTGTCTAACATGGTAAATTAGAGTTATTAACTAAATTAATTAATTACTTGAGCAACTTAAACATTATACGTTTGCTTTTTAATATAAAAAATTTTAATACGAATTATTTATTATAAAACTCAGACCAAAATCAACACACTAATTACCACCTTGGTTATATTACATTTTACATTATATCTGATTATAAGATTCTTTGTTACAAGACACTCACATTTACTTATTGTAACAATAAGTACATTTTTAATCAATACATTTTATCATTATCGGTTAAATATAAAAATGTATTTTTTATTATAAATATTACAAAGTTATATAATTTTACTCAACATTTAATATAATTGTTACATTGATTAATTAAATAATCATATATTTAACTATCATTAAATTTTTATATAATAGAAGTATTTTAAAAAATTTGTTTTAGTAAATAGTCAGGCCATTAGTCCCAAATTGTTTATTATATTGTATCGTTAAATAAAATTAAATTTTTAATGAAATATAAATACAGTTTATATTAGGAATCGCCAGGACTTTTATATTAATGAATTATAATACACTATAAAGATTACCATTTAACTAATCATTACCTGCCCTCGAAATATAAGTGAATGGGTTTAAAGCGTAAATCATTTGTGTTGAAAATAAATATGAATCACAAATTTCATTAAACCCCACCACATATTAGTGCACATTATATATAAGTAAAATATTAATTATAATCCTAGAAGTGATTCTAGGCTTTTGTTAGTTTATATAATTATATGTTTTACAAAAGAAGGGTGTGGGAGACTCTATGTTAATTTGCCTAAAAAAAATAATTTTAATTTAACCCTACGCAAAACAGTTACCAAAACTGTATTTTGGCCGATTTTTAGTTCAAAGCTAATTTAATGCGATTTTCTTTATGATACTAAACATATGTTAAATTATAATACAAATGATACTAGATAAGATGACAACCCGACCTCGAATTCGGCCATAATGGTCACTATTTTCGGTAAATATAAACCTATTTAAAATTAACATATAATATATGAAATCAATGTAGAATTTAACGTAAAATCAGATTATAGTAATGTCACATCAGGAAAATTAAAATTTTTTTTGTAATTTGTGTAAAACTACTAAAACTTATTTAAATAAGTTATTACACCACCCACGACAGAACCGCCACAACCTCGTTCAACACCCACGACAATACAACGACACAATCACTAAATTAATAGTCAAACGATATAAGTCAAGATGACATCCCGTCCTCAAATTCGGCCACAGTGTTCACTTTTTGGTAAATATAAACCTATTCAAAATTAACATATGATAGATGAAATCAATGTAGAATTTAACGTAGAATCAAAATATACTAATATCACATTAGTGAAACTATTAGATTTTTTGTAATTTGTGTAAAACTACTAAAACTTGTTAAAATAAGTTATTACACCATCTACGACAACACCACCACAACCCCGATCACCACCCACGACAACACCACCAAGAACGCTTCATTATTACAGAAAACTGAATTTTAACTAAAAAATGATTATTCATTTTAATATATATTTTTCTTCTATTTTAGAACTAATTTAAGAATAATGTATAATTTTTAAAAAATTATCAATAAACAACGTCAAAATAATAAAAATTGAAATTATAACTTCTTAATTTCGAGATATTTCAACAACGATATGTTCCATGCAAATAATAATAATATATTCTGATTCCACGTAAAATTCTACATTGATTTCATATATCATATGTTAATTTTTAATAAGTTTATATTTCCCGATAAAAGTGGTCACTACGGCTGAACCCGAGGTCGGTCGGCTATAAAGATTATATCAATGGACTTCTTATGCATCGTACTTTCATTCTATAATGTCAAATCCCGGGTGCCAGCTTAGGCAGATTCCCCCATCGTACTTTAAAACTATATAAGTAATTACGAATAAAATAGTTTTGTTAAAAATATGTCATTTTATTTTGTGTAGTTTTTAACAACGTTTTATCCCATAAAATCAAAACTGTTTGGTAACTAGCAACTAATAGAGATGATAATCGTATGTGTCTTAAATAATACAGATAATAGTCAGCAACTGATTGTGTCGGCTGGTTAACTGTCCATTAATGTGGTTAGTAATGTGGCTAATAGACAAGGGCTTTTCTTCTGACAACCTAGTTTGAATCAACAGCATTGTTAAATAAATATACAATTCTACTTAAATTTGATATTTGAGGAAGGGCATCATGTGCTTTTAGAAATGAAAATTAGTTATTTATGAATATTAGTTAAATAGTAGATGGAAGGGAAGGGTGAAATGTAACGTTTGAGGTCAAAATTAGTTTAATCAAAATACTAGTTAAATAATAGGTGGCATAATTGTATAGGGAAGGGTGAAATGTGATGTTTGAGGTCAAAATTAGTTTAATCATGAATATTAGTTAAATAATAAATGGAATATTGTTATAGGGAAAGGTGAAGTGTGACGTTTGAAGTCAAAATTTGTTATTTATTAATATAAGACATTTAAATAGAGTTAATATTATATAAAATCTTATAACAAAATATTTAATGTAAGACATAATGCATTATAAACCCCTTATTAAGCCACCAGGGTTATACCACATTTTACAATGAATCTTATCATAAATGATTTTCTTTGTTATAAGTTACTACTGTCCAAGTTGTAACCCAGGTTATTAGAGTGCAAGTGTTAGGGTGGCATTACAAACAATGTATGAGACATTAAAACTAAAAATTCATTTCTAATTGAAAGACAAACACGTTTTCTCTTAAAATTGATTTAATTGTTATATTAATTGTTTCTTTCAATCTTTTTGTGTGGAAAATGTCTTTTTATAGTAAAGACTCTTTGGATAAATTTAGTGACGATTTGTGCGAAATATTATTATCTTATAGTTATTCATATAAATTGATATCTAATCAGTGGCTAATTGTGCTGTACAGAGCTGTTAGTCTATTTATCCAATTTTTGTTATATTTTGATTTATTTGATTTAAAATCAAAACGAATAATTTTTTAAATCTATATAGTATATGTTTTTATGTACTTATATCTATTGTATCTAATCCTAATGT